ACTTTTTTTTTTTTGTTTAAAGGAGCATAGTTGTCGCAGTGTTTCAAAATTTATAAAATGTTTCAAGCAATAAGGAGTTTCAAGATTGATTTCTATAGATTTTAAGTTTTCTTTTTTTACAAAACTGTCAGTTGAATTTCTTATTTCAGTCATTGACAAGATGCGTCTAAAAATATTTCTCATATGAATTAGGTTAATAACATGAACAGGGATTTCTGGTTGATGAGCATTCGCCCTTCAGCATATTCAATTTAAACTCTAATCATACCAGGGTAAGCCTTTGTGACTCATTCAAACTTAAATTTTTTATTTTTCTGTATATGAAATTTGATGTTTACATATACCCTGTTCGTACAAATAAACGACTTTAACCTACAAATAAAAACAATAATGTTTTAATTATATTTAGGATTCTTATAAGTGAATGAGAAGCACACTGTCCAATGAATCGTTAAAAAAAAGTCCAAGATGAGGGTTAAATTAATCTTCATCACATCATAATCAATTTAGTCATGATTGGTTATTAAATTCAAAGAAGCAAGAAGAAGTCAAGTGAATCGTTATTAGTTAACTTTATTAAGAATGAAGCATAGCTTGTTCGGCTGCGACACGTTCGTTTTATATATTTTTTGACGTTGCAGTAATAAAATGATTTGATCAAATCATTGTGCCGGTGTTAAAAAGGAGTGTAAAAAGTAAAGCTTTGTCTTCTTGACTCATTCGAAATAAAAAAGAAGACAGTTTGCAGCACATACATACTTGCACGTACTTCGCTTATTTTCTTCTCGAGTCAGCTTTTAAATATTAAATTTGAACATGTACATTCCGATATCATGTGTAAGAGAAGAATCGCAAGAGAAATAGCAAGAGTGAATATGAATTATTTTCATTATTTTCGAAGAAACTTTAATTCCAATATTGTATTGAGTGGCGAAACTAATTCATTAATAACTGCAACAACATCTCTAAACTTTTGTAATCGCCAAGGTTAACCTTTACATCAACCTTTATATTTCATGTAATGAAGATAACCTAATTTTATTATCACTTAGAGAATGCTGATGATTCCATATATTCAAAATAGGTCCCGACTTGGCAACTTGAATTTGTTAATAGTAAAGTTGTTACAACCCACACCATACCCTGGGTATAGGGATGTATTATGTTAGAAAGACCAAACTTTTAATATACCAATCACTTTCCGAGGGGCACTTTTAGCACTAATGTAATCTTGTCTGTCCGCTTGTCTGTCTTGTTCTTTGTACTCAGCTCACAGGTCGCAATTTTTGAGACATTTTGATCAAATTTGGTACACTGACATTTTACCGGCGTAAGGACGAACGCTATTGAAAATGATTCGGATCGTACCTCTTTTTCGATTACTTCCTACATAAAGATGAGCCGTAGATCACTATAGTGCCTTTGTTTGTTTTTTATGTTCGAATTGGAGGTCATTAAATCATATCACCTTCTAATGTTTACTTTGTAAAAATGTTTGTATATTTGTAGGCCACCTGCAGACCACCTGGGTTCGTGGCGCACATTATGCTTAGAATTCTTTTTACAACATTTCGCGCGGACGCAAGTGCGCACGCACACAATATTTCGTCATTTTGCATCCGTGCCCTATCCGTGTCCACATATTTCCGTATTCACCTTCATTAATGTGAAGCAATATTTATATCATATTTGTGTAACTTAGAAAAGATTTGTTATATTTACGATTACATTATCATACCTTTAGCGCATAGTTTCATTTTTTTAATTTTTGTCAAGTCAAAACAAAATACTTGCAAACGTTTGCACAATTTTTCATGATATTGTCTTTTCTTTTTTGTTTTTGTTATTTTTAAAGGTTATAGTCAAAACCGAAAAATGATGTAATGAAAAGTGCATATGCTTTTCCAAATGACGGTTAATAAGTGTTATAAGGTCGATGCTAAACATAAAAATAAGATCAACACACAATCTGTTCTAATTATACAGAACTGAGTGTGTGCGTGTGTGTTCTATATATAGAAATATAAGTAAACTTTTTTAATTGATGTGCATTTTATGTGCCCGGCTGCAGGTTACTGTTAATAGCTTTGCTTCGAAATTTTTCAATCGTTAGGCTAAGGCCATTTCTGAAAATGCGTCCCTATATACACGCCGGAGTGTTTAATGCACTTACTTGTGCGGATACATGCAAAACTGGGAATGAACTGGAGATAACTGCACTTTTTATTATGTTATATTACTCGATTTAGAAACATTTCCTGTCCGTCTGATGTCTGTGCGTTTTGTGATACTCAACTTGGAAGCAACAAATTGCAAGATACTTTAATGGAACTTGACAAACTGATATGTTTTGGCGCAAAAATGCATTGTATTGAAAATGGGTTTGAATCGGATTGCTTTTAGGATAATCATTCGAAAAGATCTATTCTGTAAAACTCATCGTAAAAATTATATTTTTGCATCGTACACCCATGGGCAAAGGGTATATTAAGTTGTTGCGGAGTTTGGGAAATACCCGCCTTTTATTATACCTATCGAGTCAAAATCGTTGTCTGTCCGCCTGCGCCTGTCCGTCTGTCCATCTTGTTTTCTTTTTCACAATTTTGATGACATTTTATACATCGACAGGTTTTGCCCCAAAGACTATAAAGGACTATTGAAAATCTTTCGGATTCAACAACTTTTTCGACCACTTCTCACATAAGGCCGTATTTTGAAACGTCGTTATATGAATAACTGCATTAGGTGGAATGATGCAGCGAAGTGGCTAATCGTATAAAAGATTTCACAAAAAATAAAACTTTATATCGCAACAAGGCGTTATTATTAACATATTCTAGCGAAAATTTGGTGCAGAATAGTGATTTCACATTAAAAAATAATTCTATGTGATCGAACTAAATTTGAAGCAGATTGGGCTCGAACACCCTGACATCCAAGGCATTTTGTGAAAGGTAAAGTTTCAAAAAGTTTTATTTAAAGAACTGGGCGGCATAAGAGCGACGTTGTCCAACTATAACGTTTTAAAATGTTTTCGTTTTAATGAAATATTTTTAAAGTTATAAAAATTTTGCAACGAAAATTCGACAAAATGACTATCGTTGAAAAACTTTCAAAACCCAATTTGCTTTAAGGAGAAAGCGAAACCATCCCAACCTCCAAATCGTGGTCACTTTAGTAGGGCGATGCTTCTCCCTTTGACTTTTTAACTCAATAATTGAACTTCATTTCGACAGTCCTGGCATTTTGTTATTTTTTTTTGGGTCATTACCTTAACCTTTTGTCTATGATATTATGCTATTATGAAAATACCACGGTATCACACAAGTGTATTAGTATCAGAGTATATTTCGATTTTTCGAAAAAAAATTATCTGAGCTTTACTACTTCGGAACAGGAAAAAGCCAAGCGAATTCTCAGGACTTTTTTACCTGATCTGGAGTATACACACATTATAGGATCCTTAAAGCTTATATCAGAGTATTGAAAACTTTTTGATCAAATAGATATTTATTTTTTTTACTACTATGCAGCTTCATTAAATACACCTATGTAATGCGAACCCGGTGCGTTCAATATTTATTATTATGTGAACCAACTTACTTCGTAAAATATCAAAAGTTAGACCTTTTTGCCACATAAATACCTCCCTAAAAACCACAAACAACAACAAACATGGTACCTCATATTTTTACGCAAATAATATATAAGCTTGCAACAAACAATGAAAAACCACGGCTGATTTATATAATTAAAAGAAGTGTATGCTTTAGAGATTCGCTCTCGAATGCTGCTCCAAAATTGAAAGATCAACTAATTTTTAATTCTCACTGTCAGAATAGCTGAAAATGAAGCCGTCTTATCTCAAGCATCTAATAGTGAAATACAACAGTTGGTTGGAATAGCCGAAGCTCAGTCGACAAAATTTATATTCTTACCGGAGTGTTGCGATTTTACATCACACGTACAAAAAGCTGATAAATTATTCTCTCTAAAGGCTTTAAATCTGTTATTTAATATCAAAACCGATTCGGGAGTTGAAAACAGACGATATTTAGAATCGTCCAAATCCAGAAAACATGATAAATAATAAAGTTAGTTTTCAAATTTAGTGATTACTGACATGGTCCCAGTAGATGATGCGTACTCTTGAAGAAAGCAACGACTCCAAGTCGTCGATAAGTAATGCCTTCAAGTAACGATTTACCAAATAAAATTTCGTCTGTAATTTCAGATGCGCAATGTTTCATTCTTTCATTTGGACTTATTTTAATATACACTGCTTGGAGCAAAATTTAGAATATCCCATAACAAACTACGGCTGTTCAAAAACATGGTCGTGTTTGAATCTTGAATTATTTCAAAGTTTTAACAAAAATATATTTTATATTTTCAATCAATAAAGCCAAATTCGTTAGAAATAGAGCAAAGGTGGTCTGGGTGCATATCTTTTCCAAAATTTTCCTAAAATATGAAATTCTTAATCATTTTGAATATTCACGTTGATAAATGCGTTCAATCAAAAAAATGTATTCATAACTTGACAGTAAATGCCGCTTGCTTATAAACGTCGAACTTTGTCATTGTACAGTGTTGAAGATATCCCCTTTGAAACAAATTATTTGTCATATTGACCTAACTATACCTTACCGTTAATACATCTCACATACTCGTATGACGAATCCTTCAAAATCAATATAATATATGCCGTATTAGTACTCTGTAGACATCGCTACGAGATTAAAGATTCTTACGATTCGCTGATGTTTATTTGAAGAATGCTGACAACCCTGCTGCTTGAAACATTTTCAGTTTGCAATGGTAAGTTATATTTTATATTAATTGTGTTATATTAAAATTGGTTTGTGTTTCTTCCTTAATTAATTTTAATAGAAGGAAGCTTTAAAATACAAAATAAAATTTGTGTTGGTTTTAATGTAACACATTTTATTAAAACTTGACTTTAAATGTTTGATAAAGTGATGAAAGTGTCCGAAAGTACCAGCTTGAAAAATATACGCAACTATTCTAAACAGAAATAACCATTTATTGACATCACTGTTACATTTTATAAAATCATTGCAAATCTTTTGCGAAAAATACAAAACAAAAAAATAAAAAAATATATAGTGGAATTCGGCGCTAGGGTGTTTATAGAAATAGTAAAAAATGTCCTCCTTAAATGATTATAAACTAAGCTGCGAGCTTGTAGGCCATAGTATGGATGTGCGCGCAGTTTGCGCTGCTGGTATAATAGAGGGAGCCGGACAAATTATTGTCTCTGGGTCCAGAGACAAGTCTACGAAATTGTGGCGACCGTTTGACAAGGAGTACATAGAATCGGTAACCCTTCAAGACCATAAGGATTTCGTATCCTGTGTGTTTTACCACGAGACTGAACATTGGCTCTGCACCGGCAGTAATGATGCTACTGTTTGCATTTACTTAGAGAACGGTTTAGTGCCAATTTTAATTTTAAAGGGACATCTTTCCACGGTGTGTTCCGTGGCAGCGGGTATACATAGCCGTAGCCTGATAACAGGAAGTTGGGATACTACAGCACGCATTTGGACCATAGATGAAACCGGCAGCTACAGTTTTGTGCAATTGAAAGGCCACGAAGCTGCTGTTTGGGCAGTAGCTTCAATGCCGGAAACAAAAAAAATTGTTACAGGCTCAGCAGATAAAAATATTTTTTTTTGGAATGATAAAGGTGAAAAATTGCGCATACTTAAAGGTCATACGGATTGTATTCGCGGAATACTGGCACTGAAAAACGGTTGCCTAGTTTCGTGTGCAAATGACGCAACAGTGCGTTTTTGGAATTCGGATGGGGAATGCGTGCAGCAAATGACCGGTCATACCAACTTCATATACGGAATTGCTCAAAATAAAGCGATGGGTGACAAGTGTGTAGTAACCTGCGGTGAAGATAGCACGTTGCGTATGTGGAATTTAAACAACGGGGAAGAGATGGGCTTACCTTTACTACTTCCCGCTCAATCGATATGGTCTGTTGCGTGTTTAAACAATGGCGATATAGTCACGGGTTGCAGTGATGGTATAGTCCGGATATTTACAAAAGATCGTAATAAATTCGCTGATGCTAAATTGTTGGGCGCTTACGAAAAGGCCATAGAATCTAGAAAAGCTCAAATGTCTGAAGAACTTGGTGGCATAAAGAAAACGGAGTAGGTGGTCGTTAATATCCGAAATAATTGAAAAGAATTAAATAGAATTTTACTTTGTGTTTAAGTCTTCCTGGGCCCGAAGTCTTATTGACGCAGGGTACCCGGGAGGGACAAACGAAAATGGTGCGCCACGCAGACGGTTCGGTCAAGTGTTATAACTGGACTTTAGGTAAATGGAACTTGGTTGGTGACATTACTGGAGCTTCAGGAGGTACACAAGTCACCTCCGGTAAAATTCTACATGAAGGCAAGGTAATGACTCACAAAATTTTTAAAAAGGCTATGTCCTTAATTTCATATTCCTCCAGGAATATGATTATGTATTTAATGTGGACATATCAGATTCAGAGCCACCACTGAAATTGCCTTATAACCGTGGCGAAGATCCTTGGCATTCTGCTCAATCTTTTATACATCGTCATAATTTGCCTCAAGCTTATTTAGATCAAGTGGCCAATTTCATAATTAAGAATTCATCCTCGAATGCAGCTCCCGCTGTGTCCAGGTATAAACGTTGTATATAATTGGTATACAAGATGAAAGAACTTTCCAATATAGCTCCTACCAGGATCCTTTCACTGGTGGAAATCGTTATGTGCCGGGGTCAAGTAATAATGACATACCTGCATATCGAAATTCAGATCCATTCACAGGGGACTCCAGTTACAACACTGCCAACCCTCAGCAGTCCAAAATGCAGAAAGGTATTTATATTCACTTAATGCGATAATAAAATAAATGCTTTGATTAATAATTATTTAAAAGATGGGGAAAAACATTTTCCATTAACCACTTATTTGACGTTTGATACCTACGATCCTACCAAAGTTTTAGACAAACTAAAGTGAGTAATATTAGAAAATACGAAAACAGCACATTCCTGTAACAGATTTCATTCCAGAGAATTCAATCAAAAGCTACCTTCAACAGCTGAAAAAGTAACTGAGAATATTCTAAAGCGCCTTATAAAGTTGGCTGAATATCCTGGCAATCCAGATCAGGGTGCCATTGAGGGTTTAAAATTAATGCTAAACTGGCCGAGTGGTAATGTTGTTAAAACTTATTTTCTCAAAATTAGTTAAAAAATTTGTCGAATAATTTTGCAGAGTTTCTGTTTCCTGTTTTTGATATTTGCCGGTTGGCTTTACGTACGGAATCAACATTCGTTATTTTAAAGTCTTGGGATTTTATGGATCTAATTATGCCTCATCTAGCCACATCGGCAGCTAATCAATTAATGATCGTACGATGCTTTGCTAATATGATGAATCACAGTGCTGGCCGGCAAGACATTGATGCACTGTTGTCAATCTTAGTGAATCGCATTAACAGTATTAAAACAGGCAGCAATAATTTGCAGATCGCGATTGCCACGTTTTACTTAAATATCACTACTACGCAAACATTGGGTTTAGCTAATGGTGATAAATGTCGCGTCGTTGCCGAGGGTATCATTGAACTTCTCAAGTGGGCTCTTGACTTGGAAGCTTGCTACCGCTCTATGCAAGCGATCGGTAACTTGACGACTACACCTTTTGGACAAGAAACCTTGGCGTTAGTAGTATCAGTTGATTATGTTATGGATAAAATAAGAGAATTAACGAATACACCACAAACTGGGAGTTTTGTTAAAATCAATTCAATTGGTTCCGCTTTACTGGCCGCATTTTGATTTGCTTTTTTATTTAAAAAAAATAAACTAACTTGTATTTTTTCTAAATTGCCGAAATTAAATATATGAAAGGAAATGTTGAAATAAAAAAAGCCAAATTCATTCTTTTTCATCGCATAAATATATTTATGCATTATTCATACGAATCATTGCAGATTATTCCTTTAAGCCTGCATTTGTCCTGCTTGCCAATTGTGTCCTCTCTCTGATACGCTGCAATAATTCCTCTTTCCAACTGTCTTCGGACACGCCTGTAGCCCATTCAGGCACAGCAGTGCTTGGCAAACTAAAATTAGCCATCGCATTGAGTATCTAAATTGTGAAATGTTTCACTGAAAGCAAAATTCTTTTACCGTAATAAGTACCTGCTGAGTTTTATTATTATCCAATTCAATTTGCAATTCCTGAGGTCTGGGCTGAATCCACACTTCACGTTCCAATTCCACATCAATGCTTTCAATAGATGGCAAATTCAAATTATCCTGTATTCCCGAGAAAGTTTCTTCGTTAACAGCACGAATATTTGATTCGTAGCTATGGTTTTCCACGTGTATCGTGTTATCGTAATCCACATCATCCATGGCTAACGGTTCATATCCCTCATAGGTTCCATCATCTTGTACAGATCCATTGTCGCTCTCGTCGTCAGCTTCGCCGATGTCATTATAAGCAATTTGCGTTGCCCTCAGGTCATCTTCACCTGGATCAGGTAGTTCGGGAGATCCCATATTATTTTCTCCTTTTTTTAAATAAAAACGATTTCTTTCGTTTATTCATTCACTCATTGACGATAAAAAAAAGTGAAATGATTTTCGCTACCAAATTTTCTTCTTCTTCCTTAAGTCAGCAAATCAACAACAGATGACTTGCAGACTTGAGTAAAAGGGTTTCAACGTGAACACGAAGTTCTTTGTTTAAACCTTAATAAAGTTGACAGACTTGATTATAAACGTTATGCGTGCTATCAATTACATTAAATTTATTATTTATTTTATTCATTACCATTCAGTTTAACAAAGATTGGAGCTGTATTTTATGTTGTTACCGCAGACTATAGCAGTGATTTCTGTTGTTAACAAAAAACTATGGATAATGAATAGTTTTGTTTTTCTTTTTGTTGATATTATAAAACTTGTAAAGGAAAAAACCCGTTAAAGACATTTCAATCATTTCACAGTGCAAGTGCAAGTTCTTGAAATGTGGAATGTGTAGAAATTTGTTTAAAAAATGTGGAATGTGTAGAAATTTGTTTAAAAAATAAAAGTGATTATATTTATTTCTTATATTGAAAATTATATGCATTTCGTGTATTGAAAAAAAATTACATATATTTATAGGGAGATGGCAACGCAACTGATGCCTACTTAACCGTTTTGCTTCCTTACTGATAGCAGTTCCTCCCGCGCAGATGTCTACCCGTAGACCACAAATAGTCAGTCTGGTTTCTCCCTTACATGGTTTTTTGACTGATTACATGTGCGCATCCTTCTCCCGCACCAACCGTTGAACTCAATGTATACGCCATTCATTATATATTATAGCTTCAGCAAATGTACCCAGCTAGGGAAAGGTATACAAATGTATGAAACGTATACGAATGTGTAAAATGTATTCAAATACAAATGTATAAACTCGATAAAATATATACACATATGTGAAGCTTATACGAATGTACAAAATCTATAAAATGTACACAAAGGTATGGAACGTATAATAGTATAAACTGTATAGAACGGGTAAATGTGGGTATAGTAGATCCTATAAACAATATGCATGAATTTTTCTAGGGAAACATTGTACAGACAGATGGTCAGGTTATAGTGAGACTAGCATTCACACACCTAACGGTTACCAAATCATACGATTCGGTACCTGGGTTAGCATTTTACAAAATCATACTGAAATTAGCAATATCAATAAAACAGACAGAAGGATAGACATACAAACAAACATCGCGATAGGGAAAAAATTAGATAGCTTATTGATATAATACATATCACATGAAGACATGCTCAACAGATTGCAAATCATGCGATTGGATCCTAGATTAGCAATGACAATAAAAAAAAATACGCATACAAGCGAGTTGGTACGTAAGGTAATATTAACGCTAAGATATACATAAGAGGAGCATTTTTATACCAGTCAGAGCTGAACAAACATGTTCGATCAAACATAAGTTAGCATACAGATGTGTAAGAATATCGTCACAAAACATATGTAAGTGAATATAGTCTAAAACATGTAACGGGACAGCGATGGTGATCGCAACTATAAAATAGCGTGTCGCACCACGCTCAGTCTTTCAGTTGCGTGGTAGCAGCCAAGGGTAAGCGGTCACGGACATCACTAGTTGAATTTCACTTTAGGGTTTTTTTGAACTCTACGGATAGGGAATGGTCGGTGTGGCTTCGCCGTCATCCCTGAATGACTGAAGAATACCCTCTCTTGCGACGTGAAACGATTAGGGACGGACAAGTGGACCTATAAGACAGACTGGTACAACACGCGTGACGTATTCTTTCCTTTTACAGAAACTCGCAATACGGAAACGTGGAAAAGTAAATATAATAATAATCGTTCAAATAAGAAATATTAAAACGTTAAGGTCGGATCACCACGCTGGTTTTTTTCTCCTACCCTCTTAAAATCGCTGATCATTGTAATCTTCTCTTAAATAATAATAATCTTCTTGCATAAGAGCGAAACCGAAAATCCAAGTTACGTTTTTACTATAAATTTTCTTGGAAAGAGTCCTGGATTGGCTGAGTATACCCTGCCCAAGAAGACTCGTCACAGCATGTAGAGCAGATCTCAATTCCCCACCTCCATCGGCACTAGCGGGTAATAATTTGACTTTTTCTCCTCTTATTTCGGACTTAATACTGAAAAAGAATACTTATTTCGAACTTAATATCAATGATGAGCCAAGAGTGCTATTATCGTAGGACCCTATTTAATATTATTTAACGCCTAATATCTCTCACCAAAATATTGCACCAAAGAGTATTCTTCGTTTCTATAAGGCAAAATTCCAAACAAACTGAAGATTATCCACTCTACTGCTCGTTAATACCAATATGAAGGATTATATTTTTGTAGGTATCTATTTAAAATGTAAAATAAAAAGAAAAGGTCTTGAATTTCAGACGTAGGTGTTTCGTTTACATTTCATTTATATTTATAATTCATTTTATTGCAATCATAAGTAGAACGTAAATATAACATATTTAAAAATGCTATCCTTGTTATCCATTAAAAAATATTTATATTGCATCAGAAGCAAAAATAAGGAACTGATGAAAGCAAGAAAATGGAAAATAAGATATTAGTCCGAACCTGGAATGCATAGGTTTTTAAGATTTTCAAAATATATTGAATATTCAAATTAAAACGAACTCCACCTCTATATCCAACAAATGTTGAGAAAACCAAGATCCAAAAATTTTCGAGAATTCGCCTTGGTCATACAATTGCAACTCACCAATGGATCCTGAAGAAGTCTTCTCCCCCAATCTGCTGTTGTGGACAAACTCTTACTATAAAGCACATTCTCTGCGACTGCCTCAACTTTTCCTTGGCTAGAAGTATTGCATTTCGAACGATTAACCGTTTGAACATTCTACAATCAGCTTCAGAACAGAATATCAATTCAATATTTTACTTTATTAATACTACTAAGCTTATTATCTAATATCCATTTATTTAAATTAGAGCCGATAGCCTGTGTTGCTAGTGCTCAATGTCTTTTTTTTAGTCTAAGAATTCAATTCATTAGTCTAAAATTAAAATAATAATAATAATAATAATAATAAAACGAACTAATATGTGTTATCATTATACCAAACGGCACTTGCTGTAAAGAAGTATATTAAGTTTGTGAGGATGTATGCAACCTCCAGAAAACTTGATACAGATTCATCTATTATTACACCGATCATTTTCCGACAATCATTTGCTGAATCGATCTAAACTTGTCTATTTGTCTTGTGTTCAACCTACAGTAGTTGAGATATTTTGATGAAATTTGTTACACTGACTGATACACTGTTACTAGTCAAAGGACGGACGTTTTTGAAAGCGGTTCGGAACAAATCACTTTTTCAATCATCATTAAGTTGTTACTTAAATGACTCCAGGGTCATTTAGTGTATTCAATAGAGGAGCCCGATTCATTATAACATTTTTGCTTGTCTTTCCCTTGATCAAGTTTCATGACCATCCAGGAAATGGGAATTTTTTAAATATATGCATTCTTAAAAAGTAGTATAACTTCGTTAGTCTTCGGTTTATGTTTATAGCAAGAAGAATAGCGTTTACTTATAGAAAAACTTAAACATATTTAGAACTATCTTTGCACTTATGTTTTAGATTTCCAATCTTACTGACTAAACATGCAACAGCTTACAACGACATTTAATCAATAAATGTATATTAGATGCAGTAAAAAATACTGATTGGTACCTTAGTTAAAAAGCTTATTACTCTTATCGCTTAGAATGACTGCATTCAAAACTTCGTCGTCTAACTCACTTTGGGTTTTGCCAAAAAGTTTGCATAATTAAAATTTTTTAAATTTTAATGTTAATATAAATATTAATTTTCCATATGTAAAAAGAAATTAAAAGAAATAATGACGAGATATAGCCTACAATTCCATAAAATTTAAGTATCCCTATGAAAAGACTGTTTTTGTATGAAAGCATATAATACTTTGGGAAAGAAAACTACAAAGTAAACAAAGTAGTAAAATTAATGACAGGAAGTATATTTTTAAATAAACTTTTTCCAAAAACGAAAACTTGATGGATTCAGAAAAAATTAAATATATTAAAGACCATTTATCGTTCGTTGCTACTACTTCTTCTAAACACAAACGTACTTCCTCACGAAAAACTTTTTCACGAAAAATGTCTGTGGGGCAGCGAAAAACGGTGGGTGATAGTATTCTTGTGAATTTTTTTTAAAAATGTTCAAATTGTTTCTGATATTTAATTTAATTTTGAAAAGAGTTTGATTAAAAGGGAGACGCCTATGCGGGTTTTTTTATATATGCAACCAAAAGTGATAAAATATCCAAGGGAAGATAATGTATTGGTTAATATAGTAATGGAACATCCACTGCGTCCTATTACTCGACTATCTGATAAACGCAAACCAGAGAATGTTATTAATGTGAATACATTTGATGAAGAAAAACCAACCTTTAGCATAACTCTGGATCAGGATGCATACGATGATATTGAAGCATGCATCGATTCACCTTTAACCTTAACTCTCTATGAACAACTAATAAAAGATGATGTCTCCGAAATAAGTCATGAGAGTCGTTCTTCTCAGAAACTTCAAGGAAAACCAAAAGCTCAAGGATACCTGGATTTGATTCATTATTTCACTAAGAAACGTGTTATGCTTAATGTTAACGTTTTATTATATCCCTTAGATCAATCGGATGATAAAATTACTTGTAAAATGGTATGGGATATATATTCGTTAATGCCGCTCCTTAAATGGGTAAATCTTTCCAATGTTCTGTTCCTTACCTTCACGTCAATATACAATATTGACGGTACTTTCTTAAACGATTATCAAAAGTTATGCTCGGCACTTTCGTTACGAATAAATTCTTCTAACAAGAAAGATCGTAATGACAAAATATTCATATGTAAATATACTGGATTCAGTAAAGAGATAATTATCGAACAAACCAAGTTTTACAAATGGGAAAACATGAAGGATCCTGAGCGTAATAATGGCAATAGTTTGGCCATTTTCTCAGAAAACTTCAATATTCACAAAATATTCCATAACGTTTTTTGCAGCGAAAATTTTAATTTCAATTTTTGGAGCATCGATACAAATAATGACTATGCCCTCGTTTGCAACTCATTACATCGTTTCATTTTAACGGACAAAATGCATATTTCTTTAGAGCAATATTTGGCCAACGGTCCAAGTGAAATTATCGTAGATGTCTTCGATGAATCTGAACCGGATAAGATTCTCTTGCAAGGTGTAATCGATTTGTCAATATTTATGTATCCCAATGGTAAGCATAAGTGAGGGTTAATTGAAGCAATGCTAAGCTCACATGATCGACTTGAATACTTTTCCGAAAAAAAATTCCTCCCGTTCATATTTTTTCCTAAATCATATTTCGTCGCATAATAATGAAAAAATAAAGATTTGTTTTAAAGGTTAAAAACGTTCAGATACCATCAACTACCTTGCATTGACTTAGAACGAATGTTAAATAATTAAGAGTGAATTTGAATGAAAGGGCTGAAAAAAGCGAAAAGCAAGTTTGTGTCCTAAGGCAAATCTTTCTCCTTTAAAGTAATCCGTGTATAACGAAACTCCTATGTATGTAAAATTCTACACCAAAATTGCATCTTTAACGGCAGTAGTTTAGTTATTTCGTGAGAGTATATCTCTAGTGTCTTTGATATCACTCATTTTTCCACCTTATAATTGAATATTTTATATACATGGAGTGTGCATACAGTGCAGACATGAAGCGAAACACATTTATTCAATTATAAGATGTTAAGCCACGACTTTCAAGTCATCAAAAGATGTGAGCTACGCATATTAAAAAAATTATTTCATGATAGAGAATATGAATTTACAATCAAAAATTATGAAAAGAAGTAGATTTAAATAACAAAATTTTCACATACGCGCAGTCACTGCGTGCTCATTTGTCGTTGATCTACAACCTCCAAATTCATTGAGACGTAGTTCAGTGCCATCATCTCCAATCAGTCCAGGAAGAAAGCGCTCTCAAAGCTCTCCAAGTCCGAAACATAAACAAAGCGAGAAAGATATAGTGAAACCGATATTTGCCATTATAAAAATATGCGTGCAAGCACCAATTACCAATGCACCGATGGGTGAATTTGCAATTTTTGATACTAATTCAATAAACGTTAACATGACACGAGATATATACAAAAGTTGCGGTTCCGTTAAAAAAGGAGATCCGAGCACTCCTTCAAAGGAGACGCTATGTGTGCAAAGTTATCAACTATTCGATGACAACATTCTGCAATTAAAAAAAAATATCGCCGAAGGCAAATTGACTCAAGGAGATGCGAAAGAAAAGTGTTGTGAAACTCGCGATATGTGTGATCGAATTTTGCCATTAATAGCATGCGATTTTAATGTACGTTACCCAACAAATACTAATACAGAATTTATGGTAAGCATATACAAATGTTTATGATACCTATCACCAAGCGATGGCTCAAGATCAAGCAACGTGAAATGAAAAGTGGACGCAATTGTTTGGTTAATAACGCACATCCACAATTTTACGTTTGAGTATAAGATGGTGGTGGGTACAAAAATGTTGTCAGAAAGCGAATAGAACTAGTCTAATTTTTTTATGCGTTTATTTTTTGCATTGTAAGGATTTAATGACAACCGTCTATCGCGAACTAGTAGACCGTTCTTACCAGCTAATCAACGCCAACTGGGGCGACTCATTACTAAACTCACCTATAATCGCTTCCAATGTACAAAATATCCTTGCAGATCAAATAAGTCTTGCAAAATATATGCGGGCGATCGGTAATTGGGATATGTACCAATGTCTACTGCGGAGAGTACGCTTATGTTTACTTTTTTATATTAATTAAAAAAATTTTTTTTTATAAAATAATGTATACTATTTCAGTTGAAAGACCAGTTTAGTAATTCGTCAATGCTTCGTTTTTACATGTTCATTTATAATCTTGAACTGGAAGAATATAAATCGGCTAGAGATTATATACAGAAACCCTTAAACGAGCAAGGTCAAGAAGGTCAATTATTTATGTAAATGCCTTACCTAAAAGTTGAGAACATTTTTCAAATATATTTCAAATAATTTTAGCAATGTTTGTAGAATTTATCTCGATTATATAAAGGACAAAAAGGATCCAGAGATTGAAGATAAATGCGAAACGGATTTGTTAATTGCACTGAGAAATTTGTGTGAAATAGAGCAGCCCGAACTGGCAGTAGGTTGGATGCTTTTGTATTGCTTATATAAAAGATACAATTATCAACCGGGCATTAGTTATTCGCGCTGGCAGTATGAGAATCTCATCAGAGAAGGATTGTTTACTGAGATCGAGTACTTACCAAGAAGTCTTTGGGAAGTTTTCAATGATTTTAAACCATTTGTAAACACAGTGAAAGCAAAAAATCTTTGGAAAGGAATCAATCTTCTGTTAAGATTAGGTTTATACAATTTTGCTCAATTGATATATTACGAAGTTATTGATGATTTGACGGCAGTTGAAAGATACATTCTAAATGCAAATTTCAAATTGATTACAAAGGAGTTGGAGTACTTTGCCATCGTTAATAAGTTTCCGGTGGATAAACTTCCAAACTCAGCTGAGTTGGTATGTGGTTAAGTTTGTTTATTTTATATGATCATTTATTTATTTTTTTCAGAATGCATTCGTTAATTTAGCCAACGGAAATATAGAATATGTTCGTAATCCATACGATTCGTCTTGGATTCAATATTACGCATCTATTCTGGCTATCGAAGGTTTCGAAGATACTTTTCCTTTTCAATTAGGAATATTACGCTATGCTTTTAAGATGCTGGCAGAGAAGGAATTTGAAATGGCGATAACTGCACTTGATTATGCAAGCGATAGCTATGGCCATGGATTAGTTAAATCTGTAGTCAAAGCTAAGGCTTTATATTATGTAAGCATAACTACGTGGCAACGGGTGGCACATAAAAATTTTGATCAAATTCGTGATATGTTTCACCAAAAATATTTGTATTTTAATTATTTCGGAATGTTTTTCTTTTACGTATTACACGCTGCATTCTTTACATTTAGCTGGGACGCTTAAAAGAGGCTGAACTTCACTTAGCTGACGGCACTAATTATAATTTGTTTTTGCCGAATGTTTGGGCCGGCTTAGCTCTTATCAATTTGAGATTGGGTGAAAATTATAAAGCTTTGGAGTGTTGGAAATACGCCAGATCCGTAAGTTTAATTATCAAATATTTAGTCTTATTTTTATGTAAAAATTTCATTATTTGTTACTAGGATCCTAGGTTTCTTATTGATGAGGAGATCTTGGCCGAGTTGAGTAAAGTTGATCCCGACAATATAAACTTGTATGTGGATACACCAACCTTAAAATAATTTCTATGTATACTTACATGTAGAATGTGCAATTTATTTATGCATCGTTCTGAAAAATAAAACAAAGGCTACGGAAGGAGAAAACAACAGCAAACGCTCTTGAAAATTTGGGTACAATTTGTTTTAGACTGTTTTGAGATTGTTACTTCAACAACGTTACGGTGATGACACTCGAAACATATCAACGTATATTCTATATGCAAGGTTAAAGATTGACAGACCTAACGCTTCATATCCGCGTGATTGCTAATTAATCCGCAATTGTAAGAAAGACTTCAAAATCATGCTGACGGGTTATCTCCAGAATTTATCTAATGCATTACACACTCTATTCTTGTCTTATGGAAACGTGATTCAAATTCATATTCAATACTCGTTTCCCGTAGCTTTAGATGATTCTGGTAGATATTTATACGCACTATCTGCGACAAAGACAGGAAAAGTTTATATGAATTAATGAAAAAATGGAACAGCATGTTCAATATTTGAGAATTAGATCCTAAGTTGATAACATAGGAATCAGTGCATAAAGTGCTTTAATAGATTTTTTCGGCTGCCTGTGAACGCCTTGTATTTTTGAATTCCTTATAAGTCTGCTATTTGTTACCATATTCTGGTAGCATAAATGAAGTTATTCGGTTTCTTTGAAGCTTTTGATAATTGAATATTTTGTGGAACCATTAGAAAGAAGTAAAGTCACTCTCTCTAATTACATTTTGTAGATCCTCTGAAGGATATCATCAGGTTTCATTTACTGGAAAGCAATAGTATTATAATAGCCTAATAAACCGTAGGAACAGTGAAGCACATGGCCAGACACACTGCACTGTAATACGTTGGAAGCTGAAAATCTCTGCTCTGGGCACCTATGATACCAGAAATAAAGTCGAGCGAAGTAACGAGAAAAAGAAATAATAAAGCCTGTGGTCAGATGTTGCATCTAAAATCCTGTATGGAATAGAATCGGCAGATGAACCTGCAGAAAGTGAAACCAAGTGTGTACTATGCACATGGTGATAGCACTCCCAATGGGCGGAACGAAGCCTATTTCTATCTCAAAGCTGTAAGCAACGTCAAACAACAATTGCAAGGGAAGCTTCTGGCGAGGCAGTATCTCAGTCTCTGATGCTGAAATAGGACAAGTAAAAGTTAGCTTATGCGCATTGGTTGAAAATGGTTTGGTTAAGAGAAAAATATGTTATTCTTGATCAGAGCGTTACGCAATAGTTAAATTCGAACTGACTGTGGTATGCTTTAAAAGAGATTGATTAAAATTGCCATTGTTCACCGATCAAGTGATATCGCCCTCGACTGAATATTTTTCATATAATATTTTGTTAACTGCAATTTTGCACAAGTGTATGGTAGAGAAGGGCACACGCGACATATAAGCAAAAACACGTAATAGAAATACCAAGGCATGAGAGTAGCACATAAAAACTACAGCACTACTTCTTACTTAGAAATCTACATCACAAACAAAGTTAATACATCAACTTCACTTAGGTCTTTAGAATAATTAAGGATCTTTGAAAAAATATAAAATGTTTAATTATAAACGTATCATTTTGTTTATTTATATTTATATTGTTACGGAATTCAGACATATGACAATAAATCTGCCTGAAAACTATCTGATTTGCTAGGAAACGAAGTTCTTCAAATAGTAAAAGTGAAATACAGACGAATTACGGTTTATGCATCGATGTCATAAAACCAAGTAGCCTCATAGAGTTGGCGCACACTAATAGCAGTGAATACGAAAAGTCCACAATGAAATTAGGAATTGACAACTTGCTTGAAAAAAGTATGTACGGGGAATATGTCAATAAAGGCCAGAAGAAGCATTGTAAATATCAGTTCCTATAAATAGATTTTCTAAGAGTTGTAAATAGAACCTACGTCAACCTAAAAATAACAATTCAGCGTTGTAAGCTTAGCCTGAGGTTAAGATAAAAAAAAAAAATTAAGAAAATTTATACCGTACATACCTTGTTGAGCAAGGATATATCAAATTTGTGCAGATGAGAAGAAGAACTTGAGGTAGACTCACCTTCTGTTATACCGATCGATTCACAATCATTTTCCACATCATTATAGCTTGTCTGTCCCCCTGTCTTAAAATGAAACTATAAAGTTAAGTACTAGTAATATGATGGTAAAAATGTATATAAATAGAATATTTGTGGAAGGGAGGATTAGTGGAAAAGAATATTTGAGTTAAACAGTCGAAAGTATTGGCAAAAATAATTTGTGAATAATCTCACATTTAAAGAAACAGAATTGTAAATAAAAGAACTTTGAAGTGTAGTTTTCTTGAACAAAATATCCACGATCCAGTGATACGGACTGTATCTTACACAAGCGAATTTCATAACAATATAAATATAACGCTATTAACGAAAACCAGAGTAATTAGGAAATTTATAACCTCACGTCAGCGAAAGGTATACAAACATTTGTGATCCAAATTAAAGTCTTCCACATTGAGATGATCTAGGAATGTGAATATCTAAACGCTAAAATGTTAAACCTACGCTCTTGCTATATTATATTACAACAAACGCTTCGCGCTGTACGAAATTAACTACTTTGGTGCAGCAGATGATGTTTTAGCACTAATAATCACCTTATCCCAGGTCACCATAACCACAACTTAATAGTACGTAATTGCCCCAACAATGTAATATACGTTTCATAAACCAGAAACCTAGGTGGATAGGGACTCATAATAAATCTTTTCATCAAATTTCTTCTGACAATTGTTCGATTCTACCTTTAACGTAACCAGGCGCACTAGGTTTTGAATTTTATATTATCCGCTCAATTTATGTGGAATTTTCTCCTTTTTTTACGATCTAAATTGTCACGGCGATCATACGATCAGAAATAAAAAAAGTCAATATTTTCAATTTAGAAGGGATGGCCATTTTGAAAGAGATGAATAACAGAAGAAAATTTGCTTTTGACCTAAACGCATAATTTGACTGCTTTATTGTATTAGAAAAATTCGGAGTAGCTGTGGAAGGGCACGTCTAAACCCGCTGTCCAATTTTCTGCCTATGAAATAACATAGAATAGCCAGCGAATAAATTCTAAGACTAAAGTCTTGAAGCTCTAGCATATAAGGCTATCTATCGGCTTGATTGAAAACTCTAACGCTCTTGAGATTTGAACCCACGACCATTGGGTTGTTAGACGAGACTCCTTGTTTACTCGACTATCCGGGCGGATGCATGCAAATTAAAACCATCAGTTATAATCGCCTTGTCTTTATTTGACGCATTGAAACATGTGTTACGTTCGAGCTAAATGTAAACTCTTTTTCTTTTTACTTTTTGTATTTTCCAAGCGACATTTTTTTGTAAGGTGTACAAGTTGTCCGTTATTATTTTGTGTCTTTTCTTCTATTTGCATTTATACTTTTGATAGAAGAGTAGTGAAAATATTTTCGAAACAATTTTGTCTTCTTCCGAATTTAATGAAAAAAAAATTAAATATGAGGTCTAATAAGCCAAAAAAATCGAAAGCTTCACCTATAGCCGCACAAACAACACAACGCGTTTTTTTATACATGCAACCGCAGACCATATCTTATCCGATACCGGAAGATGAAAACACGTACATTGAGATAGAATTGGAACATGCAAAGTGTACCATTACACAACTGCGTGACCATTATACTCCAGAGAATAAAATTCACTTGAGAACATTTGAAGAAGAAAGGCCGACATTTAGTGTCACTATTGAGAGAGACAGCTATGACGACGTTGAGGCGTTTAGTGATGCGCCACTTAAGTTAACCCTGTACGAGCATTATATACCGGAGCTTTCTTTATCTGAAGGCACTGTAATTCATCCACCACATCGAAAGATGGAAGACAGATGGCCGTTGGCTCAAGGCTACATTGACATGATGCAATTCTTCATCAAATGGCGTTATAAGAAAAGTATAGACGTCTTTCTATATCCTATTACGCCGTCCCAACAATCCAGAACATGCAAAATGTCATGGGACATATATGCATTGACGCCAATCGTTAAAAATCTTACATGTTCCAATGCCATCTTTATTACGTTCATGTCTTTACAGAACGTAGAGGAAAGTTTATTAGACGACTGTGATGATTTAGTGGCCACAATATCTTTGCAATCTAAGGAGCCTATGGAATACTCATCAGAATATCGCAAAGTGTTTATTTGCAAGCATACAGCTTTCGCCAAAAAACTAGTTTCCGATACTACTACGGGTTGCCAATGGGAAAGTTTGAAAGATTCAATTCTACAAAATTACAATTGTGTCGGCATTAACTCTGATATAAAACTTAATTTATTTGGTACAATTTTCAAATTAATCGCTGCCGAAGACAGCGAATTTAGTTTCCCTGACCTAGAAGTAAATGTTGACTATAATCTTGTTTGCAATTCAATGCACAGATACGTTTTAACAGATAGTATGCATAAACAGTTGGAGCAGCATGTGGCTAAAGACAATCTACATCTCATAGTAGAAATTTTTAGAGAATCAAATCCAACCAATGTATTATTACAAGGTTTTATTGACTTGGCAATATTTATGTATCCAAAAGGTACGTAGATCACAATTCGAATAACATGTATGCATCCGGAGAAATATTTTTCCCCTGTTTTTAGTCAATAATTGTTCATTTGCTGTTAAAATGACACCGCCACCTAATTACCGCCGCTCTAGTTCGATTATTGAAACAATGTCGTTAGTGCGTTCAAGTCTTTCAAACGCAACCCCCGTGTTTGCCGTTATTAGAATATGTATAAAAACGCCAATAACGGAGCCATGCAGAGATTTTTTCGCCAGCGAGTTGACAGATACCATTTATAGAAATTGTTGGCAGACCAAAGGTACAAAAGAGGCCTTACGTGCTAACGATGAAAGTTACGAGAAGAGCTACAGGCAATTCGATAATACAATATGTGACTTGATTGATTACATTGTTACAAATAACTTATATAACACTAAAGACCGCAATTATTTTCAAGGACAAATTTTGAACATGGCGAATCATGTGTTACCTCTACTGGCGTGCGATTTTAATATACGATATCCAACTAAAACGAGTATAGAATTTGCGGTAAATTAATCAACCAGAAACTTTTCAAAACATTACAAAATGTCGTTTTCAGAATCTAATGACAACGGTATATGAGGAATTAGTGAAACGTGCTCACAATTTGCTCACTAAAGATAATGAAATCAAAAATATAACTTGTACCGACATCCAGCAAAATATGATATTTCGTATGAATTTGGCGAAGCTCATGTACGAAGTGGATAATTGCGATATGAGTGAATATCTTTTTGATCAGGTTTGTCATGCGAAATAAATTTCACTGATTCAACCGATAATAATCGTTTGTTAGATGCATTTAAAAGTTTAGATAAATGTAAAATAATACACGATCCAATCGAGCGAAGGATAATTGAACCTTTTTTTTCAGTTTTGGCTATCTGTAGATAGGAAGAATGAGTTATTTAGAGGTAATCAGTGAAAAAGTGGAATCGGGTTGCTTATACCAGTTTATCCGTCTTTCCAATTACGATTACGAGTTCGTAATTTTATCTGAAAGAAAAACTAAGCTTCAAATTTTCTTTGTGCCTGTTAGATAAGTTCTCAAATGAGCTAAATGTCGATCATATTATCATTTTTTTCTTTTTTGTCATATGAAAGTTTACTTTTCGTAAGAATTCGTATATGGGGCGGAGTGCAGAAGGGAGACGTACATGACGTAAGCTAGGGATTCATTTTTATGCCAAACTCCCATGCCAACTCTCATTTCCCCATATAAGGGCCTATTTTTTTATGGGAACCGCTATATAGAAGGAATTTCACATGTATATATATGTTATATTGGCGCATCCTATCCAAAAATTTCATTTTTGTCGTCTCAAAACACCAAATTGCCAGCATACCAAAATGTCTCGAAATATCTCGAAAAGTAGGTTAAATACAACAAAAAAGGACGGAGAGGCAAGTGTTAATCGATTCAGAAAATGAATTCTGAGTCGTTTGGTATAATTAAAGATGGATCCATCTCAAATCATTCTGGATGTTGCACACATCCCCTTGTTTCACGTGTGATGTAGGGTAAACTCAGAGAGTCATATTATTGTCGTAGCAAGCCTTCGGTATATGTCATCTCAAGCCACTAATTCGGACAGACGAACAGACGGATTGACATGCTTAAATCGATTGAGATAATGATCCTTGATGGATCGATATAATGAAAAGTGAGTTCATCTGAAGTGCCTCTGTGTATTACTTGCATCCGAAAAAACTTAACAAACCCTCACAACACAAGTGGTGCGGAGCATAATGAGGAAAAGTAAGGATTAATATTCGCTTTCATTACCAACGGAAAATATCGACTATTTACGTATACTCTTAAACTTGGCAAGTTTCATTTTGCATGCATCATCCCTAACTGACCTCCAGTCAAAGATCACAAAAATTCGAAAATGATGTTAAAAGTGTATTCTCAGTTTTGATGACGTTTAGAATTGTGGCCGCTTTATTTATGTCATTTGGTTTTTTTTTTTTCTTTTTACATTCTAAGTTGGAACAGGACTATGGTAACAACTCATTATTCCGATTCTATAAATTCATTTCCGACATTGAGATGGCTAAGTACGATTCTGCTAGAAAATATTTAGAATTACCTTATTTGAAAAGAGATATGGGAGGAGAATTGTTTACGTAAGTTCTTTCAATAATAATATTATTAATCCGTTTTAACATCAATTACAAAACAAAATTTCAATTATTTTCAGCCCAATTATTGAAATCTATATAAATTATAGAGAAGATTTAAATTCAGAGAAGCAGACAGCGGATGAAAATCTACTGATTGCTTTAAACGAATTCTGTGAAAACACTCAACCCAAAAGTCAAATAGGATGGATACTATTATTTTGCGTATACAAAAGGTATAAATATCGTCCAGGCATGGAGTACAGTCGCTGGAAGTACAAAAATCTTTTCAAAAATGTCAGTCTAAAGATCAAATATATGCCAAGAAGCCGTTGGATTATGTTTAACAGTTTTACACCAAACTTAACATCGCCGAAGGGACAATATTTCTGGAGAGCAATAGAGGTTCTTTTAGAATTGGGCTTATATCAGTTTGCTGCTTGGATATTTGATGAAATTGCCGACGAATGCCTAGACGTGGAAAAATACATTTTAGAAACGAGTTTTATGTTCCATTTAAGACAAGCGGATAAGAATTTTGTGGCTCGGCAATTTTCTGGTGAAAAGGTTCGGAATGGCGAAAATTCAGTAAGAGTAATATTTTGTCAACATAAAATGTTTCTACTTTTATATCCATCATCGAAAGTATTTCTCAAGAGATGTGCCACGCATAGAAAAAAGCTTCACAGAACCTATAAAGTATAGCTACTCGTGACCAATATCAAATTCGTATTGACGCAGCCATATTTCTTCCATTCATAAAAATTAAGATGGAGACTTGAAATATAACCAAAAAACTGCGGATTCCAGCAAACGCGTCAAAAAAAGCACGTGTAGCGCAATATAAACAGAGAATACATTTTCTCATAAACCGTATCAGGTCCAGCGATAAAAATTTTCATGCATGTTACAAGCGTGTTCCTAGCTAACATAATAGGATATAGTATTCTTTTCTCGTATTTTTGCAACCTTCACCGGTATACAAGTGTATACGCCGGTGTACGCGACATTCAGAAGAAGTTGAGATAGACCCACCTTAACCAAACCTCTGTCCGTTTTGTTTATATAGCTCGCAACTTTTGAGATGTTTTGATGAGGTTTGCTACAACGACAAGGTTTGTGCTCAAGGACGAATAGTTTCGGGAATGGTTCGGATCGAACTACTTTTTTGACTGCTCGCATAACACTTTTATTAATTTTAATGGTGGGTCGTGGCTCATTATAGCGCTTCTACTTGTTTTTCTAAGACAAAAATGATGAATACAGAAGATTCGGCCATATAGTCATATATACTTTTCTTATTTATTCGTATTCCTTAGAAAGCCTTTGTGCACTTAATTAATGGACACATCAAGTATTTGCTTAATCCCGAAAATGATAATAGCGTAGAAGATTATGGTTATATACTGGCATTACCGGACTTGGATGATACCTGTAAATATGAAGTAGGGATACTTCGGTACGGTTATCGAATGATTAAGTTAAAAAAGTTTAACAACGCAATAAGGGCATTCTACTTTTTCGGAAACGAACAACAACTACAAGTAGTAACGTGCGTAGGAAACGCCATAGCTTTGTATTATGTAAGTTTTGAAATGTACGCCAAATTTTAATTAACTCTTACGTTTATATATTAGACGGGTCATTTGGAGAAATCGAAAGAATGGTTCATTCAAGCAACTAATCATGGAATGTATTTCCCGGATGTGTGGGCATATCTTGCAGTAATTGATTTAAGATTGGGTGACTATATGACGGCATTGAAGTGTTGGAAATACGCAAGACTAGTACATTTTAATAGCGCAACTCACTTTCCACTTGCTAAGAATTTTCTTTCATTTATTTGTTTTAGAATCCTAACACACTAATTCATGAAGATATTTTGAAGGAATTAGAGAAACTGAGTTACGAGAAAATCGACATCTTTAAATGTATATTAGAGGATTGAGATCTCGAAATTTTCTTTTATTACATATTAAAAATACGATAGCAAGCATTTTCATAATAAATTTACAGAAATGCACAACAAAAAATTAATGTAATTTTATATGTAAAATGTTGTGATAAATATATTTTACAATTTTGTTAATTTCTTCAAAAATTCCTTAGTAAGGTTTTGATCTAAAAGTTGAGCAACAACAAATTTTCTCTCTCTCTCCCCTCTCTCTCTCTCCCCTCTCTCTCTCTCTCTCTCTCTCTCTCTCTCTCTCTCTCTCTCTCTCTCTCTC